ATACTACAATGGGCTGACTTCGGAGAGCTGGCACCCACTGGGACCACACTGAGACCTCACGGCGGTGCACGAGCCCCTCTTGCAAGGGAGCAGCCGTCCCCGTTTTTACACAAGAGCTGTAGTTTGGCTGGAGTGTGGCAGTCGGAGAAACAGGCATGCTTTCTGTCTCCCTCTCCTGCTGTCCTGGCTCATACAGAGCCTTTTTTGAGAGAGAGAGTCTCACTCTGTTGCCCGGCTAGAGTGCCGTGGCGTCATCATAGCTCACAGCAACCTCAGACTCCTGTGCTCAAACAATCCTCCTGCCTCAGCCTCCCGAGTAGCTGGGACTACAGGCATGCGCCACCATGCCCGGCTGATTTTTTCTATATATTTTTAGCTGTCCAATTAACTTCTTTCTATTTTTGAGAGAGACGGGGTCTCACTCTTGCTCAGGCTGGTCTGGAACTCCCAGGCTCAAAAGATCCTCTTGCCCTGGCCTCCCGGAGTGCTGGGATTACAGGTGTGAGCCACCGCGCCGGCCTTCTAACCGCCCGGCCTTCTAACGTTTTCTAAAGGGCTGCAGCGCTCCACACCCCCTCGGCCACTCCCTCCACCACACTCGCCGTCACCCAGCGTGGTGGCCGAGGGTCTGCGTCCTCTCTCCAGACGCGTTTGCTCCAAGACCTCGTGCCGGTGCTCGCCGCTCCCGATGTGATTCTCTCCTGGGAGTTCAACCTTCAGGGTTTTCCTGGACGTAGCCCTCCCAGCAGTCAGGATTTCTGTTTTCCTTCACGCTTCCCGTTCCCTTTCTTCTTCCTTTCGGCTTCCAGTCAGGCTTATTCCCCCCGCCCTGGGAGTCTACTGCCGCATCTGCAGGTTCACAACCGGTCGTCCGTCCTTCAACAGGCCTGCGCTCGGGAGGAGCGGCCCCTTCTCTGCCTTCTGCAGAGGAGAGGAGAGGAGAGGAGGGGAGAGGAGGGGAGGAGAGGAGAGGAGAGGAGAGAGAGGAGAGAGAGGAGAGAGAGGAGAGGAGAGGAGAGGAGAGGAGAGGAGAGGAGAGGAGGAGGAGAGGGGCGGCTCTGGAAGGTCTCGGACGAGCGGGTCCCTGGGGGCAGGACAAACGGGCTGCACCGTCCCCCCACCCAGCTCCCCTGAGCGACTGTTCTCCCTCCGAAAGGCTTTCCGCCCCTCCCTCCTGCCAGGAAGGACGCTTGGGGTGTAGCGGAGGGAGCCCCCACCAGCATCGCTCAAGACGGGCGGGCCCTGGGGAGGAGGACAGGGCCTGTCGACTCCGTGGTCCTGGGGCAGGCAGCCGGCCAGGGCGTGTCAGAGCAGCGGGGGGGACGATGGGAGTCCCCACCCCTCACACAGGACGCCTTCCTGAGCCCGAGGTGGCCGGTGCACAGCAGCCCTGGCCGCTTCGGCGCGGCTCGGGCAAGCTGTGATCTGCAGTCCCGCCCAGTGCAGCATCCCAGCACCATCAGCACCACGAGGGTTGCAAGAAGACACAGGATGGTTACACTGGGGGCTTAAGTTGTTGCAATAAGAGCGTGCGCGATGGTACAACATAAGCCCATGCGCCCGGGGAAAAGATGCAAGGTGACGGCGCCTGGGCCTTCGCCCTCCCCGAGGCCCCAGAGCGAGCACCTGTGTCAGTAGCCTCTGCTAAACTCACCTGAGTCACCAGGCTGGGCTTGTTGGACTCATTTCTTGGTCTCTCGCCTCCATCTCAGTTTGGAAGCTGGTTCCTCTACACTGTCCTGGGATTTCCCCCAAACACCTGCTCCCCTGGAGTTTCCCCCTCAGATGGGGGCTCAGAGGCTGCCGCCTCCAGGAAGCCCTCCGGGAAGACTCCGGCTTGGTTTGAGTCTCTGGCTTCTAAGGCCAAGGATTCTGTCTCAGGGCAGACCGGATTTCCCAGCCCGCCTCAGGCCTGGCAACACCCTGCTCACCTTGGAGGCTCAGACAGCCACGGAATGTTTTAAATGATGCACATTTCACAAGACTCGTAAGCCCCAAAACGTGGGGCTTGGGGAGGGGGTGAGTCAGAGAAAAGTAAGACGGCCCCATGAGGACGTTCCTCCCATGATTTTCACTCTCACCCGAGAGGCGCGGCCAGTTGCGGCAGCCCTCAGAGTGGCCAGGGTCCCACACCTGTGCTCAGCAGGTGCAGAACAGATACCCAATAGAAAGTCCACCCCTCCTACCAGCCTCTCCTCAGAGCGGCCAGCTCTCCGGGAGACTGTCTTGAGAACAGGTACGTCCAGGCTGCCCTCTCCCAAGACCCCCGACAGCCACCTGCCCCAGCCCCGATCTCCTCAGGTTCCCTCTGCTATGCTCAGAGCCACCCTCGGGTGGCCCACCCTCTAGGTCCCTCCTCTCATGGGGGCAGTGCACCCACTGGGGGTGGCTGAGCCCTGGTCCCCCCCAGGCGGCCGGCTCTGGCAGGCCGAGGCTCTCTGGGCATCACCTGGCTGTGTCGTGGGGTCCCAGAGGCCCCTGGCCCTGCTGTCAGGGGTCCTGCCTCAGGCCACTGGGCCGCACTGCCCACCGATTCAGGACCCCCATGCCTGGCCATCAAGTGATCCTGGTGCCTGGGCCCCCATACCCTGGCAGGACAGGACCCACCACAGGGCTCCCTGCTCCTGTGTCCAGAGCTGGACAAACCCAGGGTCCTCCCTGCTGGGGCCTGGGGGTTCCACAGGAAACCCTCACAGGGGCCCCCTGGGTGCCGGGAACACCCCACGGGAATTCACTCACTAATTCATTCATTCATTCATTCATTCCACAGTTTCCAAGTGCCAGGATTTTTTTTTTTTTAATTTTTTTGAGACAGAGTCTCGCTTTGTTGCCCAGGCTAGAGTGAGTGCCATGGCGTCAGCCTAGCTCACAGCAACCTCAAACTCCTGGGCTCAAGCGATCCTCCTGCCTCAGCCTCCCGAGTAGCTGGGACTACAGGCATGCGCCACCATGCCCAGCTAATTTTTTCTATATATGTTAGTTGGCCAATAAATTTGTTTCTATTTTTAGTAAAGACGGGGTCTCGCTCTTGCTCAGGTTGGTCTGGAACTCCTGAGCTCAAATGATCCGCCCTCCTCGGCCTCCCAGAGAGCTACAATTACAGGCGTGAGCCACCCGCGCCCAGCCCGAGCGCCAGGATTGCGCTGTGAGGTAGAGGAGGTCACTGTCTCGGCCTGTGGTGGACGCTGCCTGCCGACAGCATGTCTCCCAAGCCCGCGGGACACACAACCTAGCAACGTGGGGACGAGGTCTCTGAACGTCTGAACCCCCAGTGACTGCCCGGCTTGTGCGTTTCCATGATGAACCAGATGGAATCTGTTCGGGTGCACACGGTCACTTGCATTTGTTCAGGGAATTATGGGTTTTTGCTGGTGGATGACAAGAGTTAGGAAGTTGCACCTACAGCCCGAGGACACCTGCCTCAGGGGGCTCTGCGCAGGACCCCCTGCGTCCCGTGACCTCCTGGCCAGGCTCTGGGCCCTGTAGGGGAGCGGGAGGGGTTCTCAGGGCCAGCTCTGATTGGCCCAGCATTAGCCAATCATAGCTAGGGCATCCTCATGCTGATTGGACTGCCTCCTAGGCCTCAGCCAATAGGAAAACTGCTTGGAGGACCTGGTCCCAGAGCCCCTGACTGGGTGGGGCCTGCAGGGGAGGCCCCCTCTGTGCTCCGTGGCCCCTGGCGCCCTCATCCCTCTGTCCCTGTGCCATCTCCTCACCACGTGGGCTCCTGAGGGTCCCACCAGTGGGCCTGTTCCTAGACCAGATGGGGCTCTTGGAGGCCTCCTGGGAGATTGTGGGGAGAATGAGTGGGGACCAGGGTCGCTGAGCAAGAGGGGTCTGGACACGCCCTGCCCTGACCCAGGAGGAGTCCCCATAATGTGGCCTGGGTGTGCAGCAGACCCAGTGGGTCCCCAGGCAGGGTGGGGTGGGCCGAGGCCCCCCTTGGGCGCTGTGTTGGGGTGCCCAGGGGCCCCAGGGGGTCAGAGGGTGAGGAGAGAGCTGGGCCCCTGGTGACCAGCAGGCCCAGCAAGAGTTGGGAGGTGGCGGAGTCTGCCCTGGGCAGGGGACAGGGCCCAGGGGTGGTGGGGCCAGGGGCGGCCGAGGGGGCAGGCGCTGGCCTCTCGTGCTGTGGCCCTCGGACCTCTGCTCCTCCCTCTGCAGGTGCAGCTCCGATCCCGAGATCACAAGGGGCCACACAGACGGCAGCGGCGGTGGTGGCCATGGGAGTCCTCTGAGTAGCGGGGTCTGACACGGGGTGTGGGGATGGCAGGGTCCCCTCCTGGCCAAGCAGACTTGAGCCCTGGGTCTGAGTCACCCACTTCCTCCACGTCTGCCCTGGAGGGTGGAGCCCCGACCCCATCTGGGTCTGGAGGGATAAAAGGGGAGGGGAGAGCCTGCTGGGTAGAGAGGGACAGGGACAGACCAGGGTGCGGATCCCCCCTCCTGGCCCTGACAGCCCTGATCCCTGGGGACCCCGGCTCCCTCCTGCACCCCACAGCCTGCAGAGCCCGGCCCAGCCCCGCTCACGCCCCCTCCCTGCCCCTTTCAGATGCTGAGCCTGCTGGTGTTGGCGCTGCCCGTCCTGGGGAGCCTGGTCCATGCGGCCCCTGGTGAGTCCCGACCTCACCCTGACCTGTCCCTGCCCCTCACCCCCCAGGCCAGGGCTCGGGTGGGTCCAGAGGGGGCCAGGGTGCCTGGCACAGCTAACCTTGTCCCCACCCAGCCCCAGGAGAGGCCCTGGAGCGAGCAGGGATCGTGGGGGGCCAGGAGGCCTCTGGAAGCAAGTGGCCCTGGCAGGTGAGCCTGAGGGCCTATGGTCAGTTCTGGCAGCACATCTGCGGGGGCTCCCTCATCCACCCCCAGTGGGTGCTGACGGCGGCGCACTGCGTGGGACCGTGAGTCTCTGGGGTCCTGGCGGGAGGGGAGGACCCGGGGGCTCCTGGGGGCTGCTCAGGTCCCCTGAGGAGGAGTCTCGTCCCCCAGGGAAGTGAAGGACCCGGCAGACTTCAGGGTGCAGCTGCGCGAGCAGCACCTGTATTACCACGACAGACTGCTGCCCGTCAGCAGGATCGTCCTCCACCCCAACTACTACATCGCCCCGGGCGGGGCCGACATCGCCCTGCTGGAACTGGGGGTCCGCGTGAACCTCTCCAGCCAGATCCACACGGTCACCCTGCCCCCCGCCTCGGAGACCTTCCCCCCGGGGACGAGGTGCTGGGTGACAGGCTGGGGTGACGTGGAAGAGGGCAGTACGTGTCAGGGACTGATGCAGGGGCGGCTGGGGCCGGGGGTGGGCGTCGGTTGCCCCCTCCTGCAGCTGCCCCTTCTCCTCCGCCCACAGTGTCCCTGCCACCACCGTTCCCTCTGAAGCAGGTGAGGGTCCCCATAGTGGAAAACCACCTTTGTGACGCCAAGTACCATTCCGGCCTGGCCACGGGGGACAACGTCCACATCGTCCGGGACGACATGCTGTGTGCGGGGAACAGCGGGAAGGACTCCTGCCAGGTGGGCCCTCGAGTCGCCCACACGCCCCTCCAGGGCCTGGCAGCGGGCACTGACCCTCCCCCTCCCCCGCCCCCTCCCCAGGGCGACTCCGGAGGGCCCCTGGCCTGCAAGGTGAAGGGCACCTGGCTGCTGGCCGGCGTGGTCAGCTGGGGTGAGGGCTGCGGTCAGCCCGGCCGACCCGGCATTTACACCCGAGTCACCTCCTACTTGGACTGGATCCACCACTACGTCCCCAAGAAGACCTGAGCCAGGTCCCCAGAGCTGCCACCGGGTCAGTGGGGAAGCCCCACCCTCCTGTCCCCAACACTGCTGCCTCCTACCCAGGAGGGGTCCACCCCCAGCACTGCTTCTCCGTCCTTGGGTCCTGAGCCCTTTCACCTGTGGGGAGCCTCCTCCCCACCTGAGCCCCTCCTCCCTGCTCACCCCCTCCCCCCTCCAGAGCCCCCTCCCCTCTGCTCCCCCCCACCCTCCCTGCCCACACGCTCACTGTCCCGCACACTGAGTCTCATTAAGTGCCACGAGAGCAGGCACGGCTGTCACTGTGTCCTGGAGTGGGGTGCTGGGGAAGGGCCTCCGGGCTCGGCCGGGCGCAGCTGCCGGACTGCGGGGCCCCGTGGCCGACCCCAGCGTGTCACTGTGGGACCGAGGGCCGACCCCCCACGAGGCTCCAGCACTCGGTTCGCCAGAGACACAGGGACGGTACGACTGAAAGTCGATGCAGGGACGCCAGGACCTGAGCCCGGCCAGAGACAGCAGAGCCACCGCGCCCGCAGCCCCCCGCCCCACCCCGTGGGCTCCAGCTGGGCTCTGGGCTCGTCCTGCACACCCGGCTCGCCGCCCCTTTGTTCTCCTGGGTCTGTCGCTTGTGTGACTGCTCCGACTGTCACACCCTGAGACCCGCTTTTCTCACTCAGCACCCATGGCCTGCTGTTTGAAGCTCGGGCCGACTCCGTGCCTTTGCTCGCGGAAATGGCGCTGGGCTTGCTGGTGTCTTCCCGGAGCTGCTCCACCTCAGATCTCCCTTAGGGCAGAGTCCCCGAGAACACCTGTGGCAGTGCCACGTGGTTTCTAGAAAGACTGTTCCCCACGACCTACCTGGTCCCAGGTCACGGTGCCGCCTTCACCCCTGGCCAGCGCCGGACAGGAATGACACGGCACAGGCCTGTGCGGTGACGCACAGCGGGGTAGAGATGACGAGTGCACATGTGCTACATGCCACACGGTGTGATGCGTGTGTCGTCTGCTTTGTTGGGAGAAAAGCAAAATATATCAATATGTTGAAAGTTCGAGGCTCTGGCGCCCAGCGGCGTCCCTGTGCCGTCTCCGCCATCCCATCCCTGGGAGCTGCAGCTTTTCCCGTGTCTGTGGATTTTCCTCTGCTGCTCCTTTGTCCATAGCTTTTGGGGTTTTAAGTTTCTTTTCATCGTTTTGAGATTTTTGGCTAAATCAATCCATCGCCAGTCTGTCTTTAGCAGTTGCTGGAACTGTTTGGTTGCCTTGGGAAGCTGGGGCGCTTCTGTTTGGAGATGGAGCCTTTGGTTACTGTGGACACGGGCCCAGGCACCCCTCTACCCTGAGTCCCTCCCCAGCGTCCTGCGCCCCGACTGGAAACTGCAGACCCCAACACCCACGCCCTGTGAGCTACGGGAGACCCCGCCAGGCCAGGGGCATCGCCAGGGCCAGGCCCCGGAGCCTCAGCTTACCCTCCTGTCCACTCGTTGCGGGGTGGCTGGGGTGGCGCGGGCCGGTGTGGGGGCTCCTCTCTGCACAGCTGGCCTGGAGCGGGGTGTGGTGCTCTGCAGGGAGCCATGCGGGGGTTGGGGGATTCCCAATTCTGGAGGTGAACCGAGTGGGGACAGGTGACAGCCTGGAAGTCCCCTCCCGTGGGGACCGGTGATGGCCCCGAGCTCAGGACTTAGCACCTGGTTCCATGGAGACCCTGCCCTCTGCCTCCCCCACTGGGTGAAACCAGGCTCCTGGGCCTGGGCGGGGGTGACCTGGGCGGGGGTGACCTGGGCGGGGGTGACCTGGGCGGGGACTCCTGGCTCAGACCCTGCTCCCCCTGTGCAGAGCTGACCAGGCAGGTCCTGCCCCGCCCAGGTGTGCGGCCGTCCAGCGGGAGGAAGGGGCCCTGCCACAGAGGGTGGGCTGATGTCGTCCCTGTTGGTCACCAGGTCAACATCCAACTGGAGTTCTGAGCCTGGGCTGCCGACTGGCCAGGTGCTGGCCTGCAGGAGGCCAGGTGTGGGCCCAGTGAGGCCACATCCCGGTGGGTGATCAGGCAACACCCCCTTGTGCCTCAGTTTCCCCACATCTAAGAGGGGGTCCCTGACCTCCAAGGTCACAGCGGCACCCTCCAACCCTGGCCTGTGACTTGGAGCTGGGGAGGGCAGGAAAAGCCCAGCTGCCCGGGGCCCCCAATCAGCCGGGTCATCAGGCCCCGGCCACAGAGAGGACGGTTGGGAAGGGCCTGCCCAGCTGGCAGCCATGTGACGGTGGCCACCTGACCTGTGGTGGGGACCTCGGGACCCACCAGCGGATGTGGGGAAAGGGACATCTGGGGGGGGGTTGTCACGGGGACCTGAGCTGTCCCTGAAGGAGTGTCTGGGCCTTGGTCTGGGGTCCCTGAGACTGGCTGGTAGAGATTGAAGGAGATGGGGCCAGCGTGTCCCTGGGGAACCAGGGAGGGCTTCCTGGAGGGGGCGGCACTCATCCTGGCCCCACCCTGGGGAGGAGAGAATGCTGGTTTTGCAGTCAGGACACTGGGGACCTTTCCTGTCCCTGCTGTGGTCTGGGCAGGAGCCGTGGGCAGGCTCAGTGCTGGGCTGCAGTGTCCACATGGGGACCAGCGGAGGCGACAGCCCTTCCCTGTGGGTGTGCCCGAGGAACAGAGGAACAGGCGGGGCATGCCCGTGGAGCCTGTCCTCCTCCTGGTCCTACCTTCCCGCCCCAACAGCAGGTGTGTGGCTATCCCCGCTGCAGCGGTCTGAGGCTCAGACGGACCCTCCTCCGCTGCTGGGCTGGTGCCATGGCCCTGGGCCCCTGGGCCCTCTTGCTGCTCCTAGCCGTGCTGGGTGGGAGCGCAGGTCAGCGGGGGGGGCCGCTGGGGGAGTGGCCGTCTGGGTGGGTGGCGCTGGGAGTGCCGTGCTGCGGGGTGACGGGGGGCACCGCTGGGGGACAAGGGATTCCTGGGGGGAGTGGCCGGGCTGGGTGGTGGGGGTGCCGCTGGGAAGGGGGTGCACTGGGGGAGTGGCCAGTGCTGGGGGTGGGCGTGCTGGGGAGCAGGGGTGCGCCTGGGTGAGTGGCTGTGCTGGTGGGTGAGCAGTGGGGCAGCAGCGGGGGTGCGCTAGGGGGAGTGCATGCTGGAGGTGGGTGGGGATGTGCTGGGGTGGGGGTGGACTGGGGGGGAGTGGCTGTGCTGGTGGGTGGGTGGGACGTGCTGGGGCAGGGGTGCACTGGGGGGAGTGCCGTGCTGGTTGGTGGCGTCTGGGGGGGAAGGGGTTGCGCTGGGGGAGGAGTGGCTGTGCTCGGGTTGGGTGGGGGGTGCGCAGCGGGCAGCTGGTGGGGGGAGCGCCTGGAGCCCGGTGTTCACGCACTTCCGGTATCTCCCATCAACTCCCCGGGTGGGAGCCTTGTGCCTGGTCCCTGGGGGGGGCTTGAGTGCTGGGGGGAGCTGGGGCAGAGGAAGGGACACGTGTCCAGGCCCCACGGCGCGGGGCCTGAGCTTCCTCGCTGTGCCAGGGTGCTGGGCGGCCATCAGTGCCTGGGGGCAGGTGGGGGGGGCAGTGCTGGCAGCCGGCCAGTGCCCCTGGATCCCAGGTGAGGGGGGAGGACGCCTGGGGCAGTGCTCAGCGCCTCCCAGCTGCCATTTATGGCCCGGGCGGGCCCCACCCTGCCACCAGGCCTGGCCCCACCCACTTAGGACACAGGGGTCCACCCAGGGTCACCCCGAGGCCTGGTGGGTGTGGACACCCCTCCTCCCACCCCCTCATCCTGGGCCTGCCCCGTCTCCTTCCCACAGGTGTCTCCCATGGAGTTCTGCAGCCAGGTGTGTCTCTCGGCGTGGGGAGGGGCAGGGAGACTTGGCAGGAGCCCCCAGAGGTGACACTGCCTCCTCCGCCGGGGCCACATCTCGGGGACCAGGGAGGCCACACAGCTCATCCTGGTGGTTTATGCTCAGGCCCCGCAGCCGAGGCCCTCCCAGCTGCTGCTCTTCCCCCGAAGTTGTGCCTTGTAGGGATCACTCTGAGACCCTGTAAACCACCTGCTGCGCCCAAACCTTCCCCTGCAGTCTCAGGGGTCCTCCTCACGGCCTCTGGGGCTGCTCCCCACACCGACCGCTTCTGGGTCTTTCTGGAGCCCGTTTTGGGGCCTGTCCTTCTCCGAGCCCCTCCCCACACTCTCCCCTTTCCTGGCGCCACGAGCGGCCCTGGCCCCCCTGCAGCCCTGCCGGCATCCTCTGTTAGGATTTTTGGAGCGCAGGCGCCGGTGGTGCATGTGGCCGCTGGGGTGTTGTTTCTTCTGGGGGTGCCTGGCAGACAGAGGGCTGAGAATGTGAGAGGAAAATGCCCGAGAAGGTGGGGAGGGGTGTCCAGGGAAGGCTTCCTGGAGGAAGAGGCAGGGGGGGGGTCTCTTGGGATCCCCCACTATCGACCCCTCTTCCTTTGGCTTAGGGTGTGGCCGGCCTCAGGTCTTGCACTCGGGGAGCAGAATCGTGGGGGGACACGCTGCCCGCGCTGGCGCATGGCCCTGGCAGGCCAGCCTCCGTCTGCGGAGAGTGCACGTGTGCGGGGGGGCCCTGCTCAGCCCCCAGTGGGTGCTCACGGCTGCTCACTGCTTCTCCGGGTGAGTGGGGTGGGGGCAGGGCAGGGGCTTGCTCGGGTTCAGACTCTCCTGAGTTGGAACCCTCTGGGCCTCAGTTTCCCCTTCAGTGGACAGGGAAGCAGAGGGTGGCCCACCACGCCAGCTGGCGCTGCCTGGGGAGTTTCCGTGTGGCCCAGCGTGAGGCTGCCGCTGTCTGCGCACCCCCACCCCGCCTCCGGCCGTTTCTTCTTCCCGGGGAGCCAAAGCCGGAAACCCCCTCCTGGCCAGGCCCCCTGGGGCCACGCTGTGTGGCTGGCTTCCAGCCAAGCCGACAGGACCCCAAGGTGGGGCTGTGCCGGGCTTTGGCCCTTGGCACCCGGAGCGGCTGATTCTGGGCCTTTGGCTGAGGAGGGAAGGGTTGGGCCTCAGGTCCTGGCGGGGGTAGGGTCTGGGCAGGCTCCGCGCTGACCTCTTGCCTCTGCAGCCCCCACCCCCTCCCGATTTTCCCGCCAGGTCCCTGAACTCATCCGACTACCAGGTGCACCTGGGAGAGCTCAGGGTCACGCTGTCCCCCCGCTTCTCCACCGTGGGGCGGATCATCCTGTACTCCAGCCCCCCAGGGCCGCCGGGCTCCAGCGGGGACATCGCGCTGGTGCAGCTGGGCGCCCCCGTGACCCTCTCCGGTCAGGTGCTGCCCGTGTGCCTGCCAGAGGCCTCGGCCGACTTCCGCCCGGGCACACGGTGCTGGGTGACCGGCTGGGGCTACACGCGGGAGGGAGGTGAGGCGCCCCCAACCGCCACTCTGCCCCCGGGGATGTGGGCATGCCGGGCTGGTGCCGGGCAGCTGCCCAGACCCCTGAAGCCTGTCCCTCCCCAGAGCCCCTGCGGCCCCCCTACAGCCTGCAGGAGGCGGAAGTCTCCGTGGTGGATACAGACACCTGCCGCCGGGACTACGCCAGCCCAGGGGGCGGCTCGGTCCAGCCCGACATGCTGTGCGCCCAAGGCCCTGGGGACGCCTGCCAGGTGCGCTGCTCGGCGCGGTGCGGGAGGGAGGCCCGGAGCCCTGGGAGGGGCCCCACCTCCCACATCCCCGTCCCCCTCCCGCCCCCCAGGACGACTCCGGAGGGCCCCTGGTCTGCCAGATGGACGGATACTGGCTGCAGGCCGGCGTCGTGAGCTGGGGCGAGGGCTGCGGCCGCCCCGCCCGGCCCGGAGTCTACACCCGCGTCTCTGCCTACGTGGACTGGATCCGCCGTCACATCCCGGCCGCAGAGGGCTCGGGGTCTGCCGGCCCCAGGCTCCCCGCCCTGCCCATCCTGGCGGGCTGCTTCCTCCCCGGACTCCTCCTCCTGCTGCTCTCCTGCACCCTGGTGGCCAAGCGCTCGCTGCGCCCAGCCTGGGTCGCCCCCCACATGATCCCTGGCCCTTGACCCCCACGGCAGCGACCCACAGAGTTTCTTAAATAAGTTACTGTTTATTCCGTGTGGCTCCCTCCCTCCCCTTGCCTCGAGTTTTCCACCTGGGGCTGTTGCCGCCACGTCCAACCTGAATCACCCCGCAGTCAAACGCGGGCGCCCAGGGGAACCCTGAGGCTAGGCCCGGGACGGGCGTCTTATTGCACAGGCTGCGGTCCTGAGTGACGCGGCCGCTGCCCAATCACGGATGTTTCCGCAACGTCCAGGGGGCGGGAGGGGAACGGTGGGGGAGGGAGAGTGAGGGGCGTGGCAGACGGACAAGCTCTCGGACGGTGAGTGAAGGTGCGGTGGCCTTGGGGGCCACGCCTGCTACCAGCCCGGCGCCAGGGCCCGGCGCGTGTTCCCTATAGAATCGTGGGCCGTGAGGATAAGGACGGCGCGGTGCCTTCCTCCTCCTGGTGGGTTTCCGGTCCTCACCTCGGCGCCGCCTTTCACCCAGGACTCCTGACCCGCGGCCCCGCACAGCCTCGGGCCCAAACCCAAAAAACCAAAACCGAAGCCCCCCCCCGCCGGCCGCCAAAACCCCCCCCCCCCCCCCCGGCAACCCCAGCCCAGCGCCAAACCTCGAGCGGCACACAGGCCTGAACTACACGGGCTCATCCGCACCCTCTCCCGGGGCAGGCGTGGCTGGGGGGGACCCCGGCTTCTTCAGGGGGGTTTGGGGGACGGCGAGGTACAGCCCCCGCCTCTTCTCTGGGGGGTCACCGGAGGGCGCGGGAGGCTCTCGTTCCGGGGGTTCCAGAGGTGCCTCGGTCCCCGAGGAGGAAGCTCTGGGTTCTGGGGCCACGCCGTGCCCGCTGTCCAAGAAGGGGTCTCCCCCGGGGCCCCCCAGGTCTAGCGGCTTGAAGGCGAAGTTGGGGACAGTTAGATGCTCCGCCCAGCAGGGGGCCGCGCCCCAGCGCTCGGCCCTGGCCGCGGGGTCCCCGCCGGCCCCCGGGCCCTCCGCGGGCTCCAGGGCGTCCCTGTGGGGCGCGGCCTCGCAGGACGGGGTCCTGCGCCGCAGGGTGGAGCTGCCCTCCGCCGCGGGGGGCCGGGCGGAGCCCTCATCCTCCGCTGGGGGGTCCACAGAGATGCAGGGGGGACTCATCTTCTTCTTCCTGCGCGTGCCCAGGGCCGGCTCAGCTTCCGGGCCCCGGCCCTTCCCCTCCCCGGGCTCTGGGCCGTGCTCCCCGGCGCCCGGCTCTGCCACGGGCCACCGCTGCTCGTCTGCGCGGCCCGGCCTGTCCAGGAAGCCCTGGGCGTCCACACTGCAGCGCCTGCACGCGGCCCGCTCACCGCCCAGCGCCACGGGGCTGCGGGGCTCGGCCGAGGGCGGCCAGGCGTGGGCGGCGCCGGTGATGTGGCTGACCTCCTCGTCCGCTGGGTCCGCGGCCTCCGCCTCATCTCTGCCTGGTGCTGGTGGCCGGCCGGAGGCGCAGTGCTGCCCGACTGTGGGCTTCCGGGTGCGCACGCTGGCGGGCCGCGAGGAGGCCCCCAGGGACACCTGCCTCACCGGGATCCTCTCGGGATCCTCGCGGTCCAGGGCGCCGTCCCCAGGGCTGTCACCGCGCCCCTCCAGGGACTCGGTGTGCACGGCCTCCTGCAGGGCGCAGGGTCGAGGTGAGGCGTGGGGCCCCAGGGAGGGAGCAACCTCCCACCTGGTTGGGGACACAGTGGGCTGGCGGCTCCTGGTGTGGGTGTCACTGGCCCCTTCTCCCCTGTGAGGCTCCCAGGGGACAAGTCTGCACCCACCGCTCTGCGGGCAGTGGCAGAGGAGACCCGGGGGTTCTGAGCCGCTGTGGGCACAGCCTGCCGGGGCTCTAGGACACCTTGAGGGTCACCGAGCTGGGGCCCAGGCCGCCTCCACATCCCCAACCAGCTGGGTCCCTGAGGGTGGGGTTCTGGCTGGCCTGAGGTGGGACTTGGGGTTCGGAGCCCGGGTGCTCTCTCCTCGGATGCACAGCCCCGCCAGACGGCAGATGGCAAACTCCGGAGCCCCAGGGATAGGGAACCCTCCCTTCCTGGGCCCCACCCCTGCCTTGGCTGCAGGGTGAAGGCCACTGCTACCTGTCTGCAGAGCAGCCGGCCGAGGCTGGGGGAGCGCGGCATGCCCCGAGGGGACGGGGCGCGCAGACTGTCGCTGGCCCTGGCCGGGGAGGACGCGGCCGTGGCGGTGGACGGGACGTGCAGAGAGGCGCAGGGCTCCGGGGGCGGCGAGTGAGCAGGGGCGGCTGAGCCTGGGGAGGGGAGATGTCTGAGCCCCGCGGCCACCGTCCTGCCACCGCCCCCGCCCCCTCCCACCCGTGTCTCCCGCCGCCCCCCCCACCCCCTCCCACCAGAGTCTCCCACCGCCCGCCGTGAGCCGTACCTGCGGGAGGGCCGCCCACGCGGGTCTCCGTCTCCACCTCCTGCAGCGGGGGCGGGGGGCGGGCGGAGGCGGGCGCCACGGGCCGGAACATGTAGCTGTCGTTGGGCAGGGAGAGCATCCTAGACACGGACACCTTGCGCACGGCCGGGAGGCCCGGGGCGTCCGGGCTCTCTCGGGGTGGGGGAGGCGCGTCCCCGGCGGGCCTGGCGGGGGGCTCCTGCGCCATCTCCAGCTCGATCTCGGCGTCCATCTCCGCGTCCTCGCGGGCCTCCTTGTTGCTCTCCTCCAGGTGCTTCATGAGCACGGCCACCACCACGTTGACCAGCACGAACTGCGCCACCAGCACGAAGGTCACGAAGTAGACGGGCGACAGGGCCGGCAGGTAGCTGAGGCAGTGCCTGTCCTCGCGGGTGCACTCCCGCAGCGTGTCCTGGGGGCGGGCGGCGGCGGGCTGGGTGTCGCCGCCCCTCCCCCACCTTGGGCACCCAGCCAGACCGAGCCGCAGCCCCGCCCCCGCCGGCAGCCACCCGTACCTTCATGATCCCGTTCCAGTTGTCCCCGGTGGACACGCGGAACAGCGTGAGGAAGGCCATGCCGAAGTTGGAGAAGGTGGCGTGCCGGCTCAGGCCCTCGCACGGGTTGTCCTCGCTGCACTCTGCAGGGGTGGGGGGTCTGGTCAGCTGCCTGCAGGGGCCCTGCATGCCCCCCTCGCACGCTGCCCAGGGACACAGGGCGGGGCCACAAGGGCCCTGGGAAGGAGCTGGAAGCGACTGCCCTCCGTGCCCGCACATGCGGGGGCTGGGGGGCTTAGCAGGGCCCACACTCAGGTGTCTGGGGCGCTGGCGGGTACTGAGCCCCCACCCCGGGTGGGCACACGCTGGGCTGGGACAACCGCCCTGGCACCTGCCGGACTGCCACAGAGGCCCCAGGAAGGAACCAGTGGGGCCTGCGCTGCCTGTGAAGGGCCCCCACCCTAGCCAGGGCTGAGGGTCTTAGAAATTATGAGGACAACGCAAAGGGACAGGCAGCGAGCGTCTGTCTGCTAGACATCACGTGGAGTTCGGGGGGGGTGGGGTTGCGTGTCTGTACATGTGCGTGTGTGTGCACGGCTGACATCGGCCCGTGCAGCAAAGGGCTGGGGAGCAGGGTGGGCGAGGTCGCCAGAAGGGGCGTGGCCCCCGCCCTGCGAGGCCTTTAGCCAGACACTGTGTCTGTGGGGGCGCGTGGCGCGGCCCCACTCACCGAGCCTCCCGAATAGCTCCACTCCCAGGGCAGCATAGATAAAAAACAGGAGCATGAAAAGAAGGCCAAGGTTCCCTACCTACACGGAGAGAAGCAGAGGCAGGTCAGGCGGCGGCCATGGCCCCTCTCGCACCGGGCTCTCCCGGCCCCAGGGGGGAGCAAGTCCCCAGAGACGGGCTCGGACCCTTGCTCTCCTGCCCACGTCCCTCCTCGGCCCCCTTGTCCCCACCAGGGCTCAGGGCCCCTCTCCCAGCCCTGCCTTGCTGCACCCACTCTTCACCCCTGACGTCTGGGGACCCCCACTGTCCCTGCCGGACAGGTTCTCCTGCTCCCTAAGGCCAGGGGGCCTCCCTGGTGGCTCTGGACTTCCCTGGGCAGGGAGCACCTGCAGCCCTGGCCTTTGCGTGCAGGGCGCTGGGCTCGGCTGACGAGGGCACCACCCAGCCAGACATGTGTACGCCCGGCTCTTGGGCGCTCCGCCCTGGCCGCTGGGTGTGGCCCTGCCCCTCCCTCCTGTCCCTCCCTGGACTCCTGAGAGCCGGGCGGAGGACCCAGGAGCGCTTGGGAAGGCCCGCAGATGGCCTGGGAGGCCACTGGGGCAGACATGCAGCGGGTGGACGGGCACGCCAAGCCGCCCTTGGCACAGCACGGCTGCCGTGTGACCTGGCCAGACCACGGGGTGCATGCCTGGATGACACGAGGCCGTGTCCTCTCGGGGGCGCCGTGACGCTGGTCGCATGGCGGCCGACCTACCTGGGGCAGGGCTTGCACCACGGTGTCCAGCAGGGCGCGCATGCCCGTGGCCATCTTGAGCAGCTTCAGCACTGGCGGGAGCCGAGAGTCAGCGCGGCCGGCCCCTCGGCCCGCGGACCGTCCCGCAGACCCCCAGGCCGCGGCCCGGCCCTGCAGCCCTGGCGGGCGCGAGCGTGGCACCTACCGCGGGCGATGCGCAGCACGCGCATGATGCGGATGATGGTGGGGTTGACGGGCAGCGCGGCGCTTGTCTCGATCTCCTCCAGCGCGATGCCCACGATGGACAGCAGCACGATCGCCAGGTCCAGCTGGTTCCACCTGCGCCGCCACGGGTGGGGGAGGGGCTCAGCGCCCCTCTCAAACGCGTCCCGGGCCCCCGGCGCCCCCACACCCCTCACACCCTCACCTCCGCAGACCCCCGGGGATGACGCCCCGGCTCACACCTGCCTCCCAGGGCCCCACCCACACCTGTCCTTGAAGAACCGGCGGAACCCAAACGCCACGAGCTTCAGCGCCGCCTCAAAGACGAAGACGATGGTGAAAACGTAGTTGCAGTACTTGAGGGCCTCGTCCAGCGACTGCGGATAGGGGGCCGGCTGAGAGGCGGGGCCCGCCCACCATGCGCCCCGCCCGCCCACCAGGCGCCCCGCCCGCCCCGCCCCTCCCTGCGCGCCCGCCCCTTCCTGCGCGCCCCGCCCCTCCCTGCACGCCAGGCCCGCCCCTGCCCTGTGGCCGCACGCTCAGGTCTGGCTGCTCCAGGCTGCAGCCCCTCCCCCAGCTCCAGCAGGGCACCCAGGTGGTGCACAGGTGTCCAACTGACTGAACCCACAGAAACGTGCCCTGCGGCATCCGCTCCCTGCTGAAGACCCCCTCATCCAGGACGCTGCCCTGAGCTGCCGCCCAGCTCTCGCCCTCAGCCACCCGCAGCAAACCCCAGCCCTGGCGCCCGCCCTGTCCTGCAGACCGCAGCGCCAGCCGTGAGCACCCGGAGCCTGCGACTCTGCCGGGCGCTCTGCGCACAGCTCTCAGGGAAGGGTAGGGCCTGTGCCCCGAGCCCAGCTCCCAGCCCTGTCTACAGCCCGGGGCAGGGCCCAGGCGCCCCGGACCAACCCTCCTCGGGTCCACACAAAACACTATTTGC